GAGAGAGAGAGAGAGAGAGAGAGAGAGAGAGACTGAAGCTTTACAGGGTACATTTAAATACTGAAAATTAAAAGACTGGGGAGCAAGGTGACCATTGTTTTTTTTCTCTGAGTTAAAAGTTAGTAAGTTTTATTAAAAATATATGTATAGAAAGGTAGAATTTCAAATATGAGCACCAATTTAACTTAGTTCCCATCTAAAAACTGAGAAAGAAACTCCTAAAATTTATTGTAAAGAATTTCTAATTCATCTATCCCTGTATCCATCTACCCGCCCAGGCGCCTCCACCCATCCTTCCCTCCCTTGAACTCACATCTAGGGCTGGGGAGGATGGACAGAACCTGTCCCCGTCCCTCTCAGATCCTAACCCCCACTGCTCCATAACGGGGTGTGAAGAGTGAGGGAGGAGCTTGGAGAGTGAAGGTTGAGTTTCTATTCCTGTTTCCAAAGGCGGGTGCTGGCTGCAGTGGGCTAAGGTGAGTTGGACTTTGGAAGCCAGATTGGCTCCCGCAGGAGAAAGGCGTGATCACCCCATGTAACACCCCTCGACTTCATTATAAACTACACCCAAGACTACAAATATCTTTATCATTGTGCTTTTGGCCTTTATTTTTTAAAAATCTGCTCACAGTCAGCAGTAAGGAGAGCCCCCAGTAATGCCTCTTCTCATGAAGGCTTCAGCGTGGCTCTCACAGACGGGTGCCTTTCGCAGAGCCGTGGTGCTTGAGAGGATCCTGCTTTGCAGAAATCATGTGACAGTCTAGAGAGCAGGAGGCCTTGAACTTGAACGTGAACACGCTTGGTATCTGATTGAAAAGAGGCACGTGAGCTGCTGCTGCAGCCGCGGACGGGGCCAGGTGGTGACAGGTGTGCCCGGTGGAGAGATGACGAGGCAGGGCGGCCCTGAAGAAGCAGGTCCATGGCCCCAGGCTTGAGACATTGAGCACTCTGCTTTGACAGCACCATGCGCCCTTGTGTTTCTGGGGGAATCATGGAGGAGGTTTACTTGGGAAAGAAGATTTTGTGCCGATTGTTTGTTCTGTTTTCAGGCTGAAATCCAGCCTGGCAGGCGGGGCACCTCCATGGGGAGCAGCCCGAGGGAGCAGGTGGTTGGCCGTCTCTTGGGGTCCTGTGCGGAGTGAGAGGTTTTGACGTCCAAGCGGACATAGTGGCCATGTGGCCTGGGAGGCAGTGTGAGGAATTCAGGGTGACGGGGCAGTGCCCAGCAGGGGTACAGGGACCTGTGGGAGCCTGGTGGCTCCAGCCACAGAGATGTGGGCACCACCCATGGGCTGACACCCTCACATAGGCGACGGAGCTGGAGGGGCACACCTAGTTGGTGTGGTCACTTGGGCCTGCTCAGAACATGGACGTGACCCCTGGGCTCAGTAGAGCTGTGTGGACTGTGTGTTTGGCCACCATGGGAGTAGTGGCCACAGCTCCAGGGGTCAGCAAGGCCTCGATGGTGCAGTCAGGGGTTTTGTGAGACGACAGGTCCAGCAATGTGGGCTCTGGGGCTGCATTGTGGAGGGGCCCTTGGGGCGTGGGCAGGAGCCCAATTCCTATGCCCACTCCAAGATCCTTCTCCCCTCCTCTCCAAAGAAGAGGGCATCAGGAGGGGCTCCTGCGTTGAGGTCTTGACGCAGCTTCTTCAGAATGTCAGTGTCCCAGACACTGAGAGGATTCCATCGAATCTCACTTATTTGAGGAAATGCTTCATGGTGATGAATCATCAGACATACTTAGCTGCAGGTGCCAAATAGGAAGCTGGCGTGGCCTGGGGCCCCAGTGAGGTTCGGCCCTTGAGCGGGAGCAACAAGTAGGTATCTGTCTCTGGGCCTTACCTTGAGGAAAGGCTACAGCCAGTGGACTCCTTCCACCTGGGCTTCATGCCGTTTGGAACAGCCTTTGGCCTTGGGCTCATTACAGTAGGGGAGGAAGGGGCCGGGGTCATGGGGTGAACTCTGGGTTTGGACAAGGATCCTTACTTGGGCCCACTTCCCAGGGACCTGCACTTAGAAACGTGCACCTTTTGCTGCAGGGAGGGCTGGAGAGCCGTGGAGGAGAGCACAGGCACTCAGTAACAGCAGTGGTCTTGGCCAAAGGGAAAGGAGACATTGGTGCCCGTAACTGAAATTCTGCCTAG